CTAAGCCAGCACGTCGTTATCTCCCAAGGGGTCTCAGACTGGAGGAGGGCACGGGCCGGGCTGAGGGACCTTCTCTCCCCCCCGAGTGCACAAATTTTTGTGCACCGGGCCTCTAGTCTATAATAATAATGTGCTTCGTGTTTATATTTACTGCTGTGTTGCTGACAATAACCTGAAAGAGAAGTTGGGGTGCTTCATTGGGCTGGAAAAGTTTGGCTGCATCAGAAAGCAGGTCTAATTAAGCAAGTTTGTTCTATATCTATAAAAGGCTAAGTTGACTTGTGCATGCAGGATACATATAACGCTCTCACTGGCGCCAATCGCACACGTGTGTTTCCACTTCTATTATAGAGAAAGGGCAAATAGTGATATTAAAATATTTCTTCTAATTAATTTCCTTTCAATGTGCATGAATTCGTGCACCAGGCCACTAGTTTGGAAACAATAACACAGAGTCCCTGAGAAATGTCCCGGGAGGTAATCTTCAACACTCTGAGGAATGTGTCCGTGGAATTTAGCTGTAATCATGGTGAGCATTGTTCTTAGGCTTATAAGGTACAGATTCTCCAACATCAAAATGTTAAAAACACCACAGGGAACCAATACCTGGACCAGAGTGGCCTCCTTTCTCCTGCCAGTCCAGAGGGGCTCTGTTGGGGGCCCCTGAGACCTCCCAGATCTGGCAAGTCACGGCTCAGGTTTATCACAGTGAAAGGACACTGCGAAATCGGCCACAAGGGAAAAGGTCACAGGGCGAAATGCAGCACTTGCAGTGGTCTTCTGTGGACCAAGGGCGGGCCCCGTCCCCAGAATCCAGGTGCGACCGGCCACGCGGCAGGGCCTCCTCCAGGGAAGCTCCCTGCAGACTTGGTGTGCAGGATGTTCACTGGGGGCTGGTCCTGCGGGCACTGCCTGCCTGCTCATACCCAGATGGCAGACTCCTGGAAGGAAGCTGGCATAAACTACGTTGTTTGCAGTTTAGGTACAGAAGCTGCTCTCATCAGTTTACGGAACAGTGGGAACCTTCCAGAAATCCAGGTCCCCAGACGTGGGCCAAGAGAGCAGTGTCAGCCCTGAGGTGGGCAGTCTTTCCCATAGAGCCTTGCAGCCACCGCTGTGGCCCTAACCACATCTGTTTGTGTGTTGTGGCCACAGCAGGCCACGTGGGGCAGCCCGGGGTCCAGAGAGTCCAGGTTTCCACCTGATCCCTCTTGCTCTGTGGGACTCAATTCTTCCGTGAGGGGCAGCCTCTTAACTTGAAACAAAGATAGCTGTGCACCTCCAGCAGGAGCGGCCTGTCTGAGGACACCAGCGCGAGGGACAGATGCCGCTTCCTGTCATGGGAGAGGGACACTGAATGTGTGGGCTGAGCGTGCACTGTTATGTCACGTGTCCCTGAGCGGATGTTGACAAGGGGGCAGAGTGTCTTTCCTGATGGGTAGTGTGGGGTGCCCCGTGATGGCTAAACGGGAGGGCTGAGCCCAAGGACTGCCCCAGTCGGCACGGCGCACCTCGGTGTGTGGCGCGGGCTCCAGCAGGGGGCGTGGGTCCTGGAGGCGTGGACTAGGGGGGATGGTCCCAGCAAGGGCGTGTCACCACAGTGTCAGAGCACAGACACACGTCTGCTACTCAGTCCAGAACACCAGCAGCGATGGAGGCAGTCACCGTGAGGAGACCCGGGTGCCTTGGGTGCCTGTCCTCATAGTTTTCAGTCCACACCACATACATCTTCTATGGCCGCTGGTGAGTTTTGTCGTTGGTGTTGCTTTCATCTCACACCACTGATGGCGCGGTGCTGAATGTGTTACAGAACGTGTCTCCCCACCAGTAAGTGGGCACCTCTCCAAAGGCAGACAGCTCGGGAGCCCAGCCTACGTGTGTTAGAATGCATGTCACATGATATTTACCGTTAGGACATAGGACCCACACGTCCTCCCTCTGTTCCCGCCCACAGCCCCCGTTCTCGATGTGGACTGGCAGAACAACACGACCTTTGCCTCCTGTAGCACAGACACGTGCATTCACGTCTGCAGACTCGGCTGCGACCGCCCCGTCAGATCCTTCCAAGGACACACAGTAGGTGCCAGGCCTGACGACGGGACTCGCGTCCACGGGAATGTGCTGGGCGGTGGGAGCCGTCTCCTTTGTACCTCGGGTTAAAAGGTGCTGTGACGGCCGACTTACCCCTTGAATTTTTAAAGGACAGGGACATGTTTGCAGCATTATTTCCTAGACCCTATTAAAATATCGCTGACATTTCTTTAAGCAGTTTTGTCAACTGCTTTTTGAATTTAGTTTTTCCTCCTTCTCTCTCCTACTCAAATCTGTGATACCACTGTGGCTCTCACCTCACTGTGTTCTTGGGGGTGGGGTTAATAAAAAAGATGCTGTACCTGCGGACCAGGTCTTCTGCAGCCCTGTGCTGCTTGGGCTGTTGTAGTATCTCAGGTGGTTGGATTAACCCAGGTATGGCCAGGCCGTGGAGAAAACACAGACCCTGAGGTGAACCAGATGTTGGATTTTGAAGGAAGTACTTAAAATAGCTATTAGATGTGTGAGGACATACAGGAAAGGATGTTTGTCATGAGTGAATAGATGGGGAATGTCAGCAGAGAAAAGAAAACTATTATCTTTAAAAAACAGTGAAATGGAAATCTGACAGCTGAGAGGTACAGTGTCTGAAATGAAATTTTAATATGTGGGTTTAACAGCCGATTGAGGTTGCAGAAATAAGGCTCATGAACCTGAAGAGAAATCATAGAAATAGCCAGTTTTCTTGAATTTGATGGAAAATGTCGACATTGGTTTTTAGAGAGAGTGAAGGGAGGGAGGGAGCAAAAGAGAGAGAAACATTGATGTGAGAGAGACACATCCATTGGTTGCCTCCTGCGTGCACCTCGACCAGGACTGGGAATCACCCTGCAACCCAGGTGTGCGCCCTGACTGGGAATCGAACCGGACACCCTTCGGTGCGCAAGCTGGTGCTGTAACCACTAGGAAACACTGGCCAGGGTGAAAGTGATCTTCAATGTCAATCTCAAAGCAACTGGTCGTACTGGTTTTCTGTGCTGTGCTTATTGGATGAAGTGCAGTTGTGATTTTTTTCTTAGCGTGTGGATGTGGGTGACGGCTTTGCATGGTATGTGGCCTTGCTTTTTACATAAATGAAAGGCAGAGTAAGAAACAGAGGGAAATGTGTGGATCCTGGGCTGGTCTTCCATACCCAGGGTAATTGAATAGTCTGCAGAGATGATGGAGTGTCCCCCCGTCCTCCTCACCCCCGCTGGACGGTTGTGGTACGTACTCACAGGCCTTTATTTCTTTGTAAAATCCTTTGCTCTCTTTCAGAATGAGGTTAATGCCATCAAGTGGAATCCCTCTAGAACGTTGTTGGCATCCTGCTCGGATGACAGTACATTAAAGGTAACGTGGAAGGATGGGCTGTTTGATCCCAGGCAGCCCCTCAACTTAGTGCAGGTCTTATGGTCACAGCTGCTCTGGGTGACGATTTTGTAACGAACTCTCTTTCTGCTGCTGTGAGTTTGCCCCAGTGCTCCTGCTGCTGCTGGTGTCCCCAGGATTCTCCCACCCCTCTGTCTGGGCAGCGACCCCCCTCAGTGAGCTTCCCCGGGGCCCCAAACCTGAGGCACGCTCACAGTGACGGTGCTGAGCCATTCCTGGCTGGAGAAAGAGCACCTGCTCACACCCTGCCTGATGTGTTCTCTAGATCTGGAGCATGAAGCAGGACACGTGTGTCCATGACCTGCAGGCGCACAGCAAAGAGGTCTACACCATCAAGTGGAGTCCGACCGGGCCCGCCACCAGCAACCCGAACGCCAACATCATGCTCGCAAGGTAAGGGGGGTGGCCCACAACCCAGTCCCAGGCGGCTCCCAAAAGCAGCCTTGCTCCCCGTGGCTGTAACAATTATATCAGAGGGAAGGGAAAAGTTATTTTGTAAAAGTTGTGGCCAGAAGATGTTACTGGAACCCGCAGGGAATAGGAATGTGGCCAGTAAATGTTATTTGCTTAAGTGTGTTATGAATGAGTTCCCGTCCTTCCAAACTGCACAAAGAGTAGCTCCCCTGGACAGGGCCCACGAAACAGCGCTGTGCAGTGACGCCCGAGCTATGCAGTGACGCCCGAGTAACGGTGCGGATCCCTGTCACCACCGGGCTGGAGGGAGGGTGGGTTACGTGTCCAGGCTTCCAGCATGTGGCTTTGTGAAGGTTTTCATTACGACAGACAAAGGAAGCGGAGTGCACCGCGACCTTGGTTTACTCGGTCCAACTCGGAGCTGCAGGTGGCATGAATTCTGAGTGGCAGTAAAGGTGGCAGCCCACCCTAGCCAGGGCTGACCGAGCCATATATATAGTGCACCCCCCCGCCCCCAAGCAGCAGATTCTTCCCAGAATTGGGGACAGGGGACATGGCCGCGATGTGCAGTCCAGAACCACATCGCTTCAGGCTGCGCTGCTCAGAACTGTCTCGGCCCAGTGCTCACGGGACCCCATCCAGGTCCTGTGTTTAGTAAGAACGCCTAGAAAAAGAAGCTGAAGAGAGTCTGTGGCAGGAAATGCCGGCCTCCTTCGGGGTCGGGATCCAGGGTGCACACAGCGAGGGGGTGTGTCCCGCTGGCGAAGACAGCGTTGGGGAGGAACGTCCGGGTCCCAGGAAGCATTGGCGGGCTTCTGCCGCTGCAGAGCATGGGGGGTCGGGGACAGGTGGCAGGTGGCACAGCTCGTGGATACGGAGGGACTCCCCATCTCTGCCGCATGGCAAGGCCGGTCAGTCTCACAGTAGCAAGGATCCTTGTTGCTGAAAGTGCTCGGCCCAAGGCCGCTTCTTAGAAAACACGGGGAGGAAGGAATTCCTGCATCAGCTGAGAGGCTCACTGTCCTTTCAGCCAAGTATGAAGGGGACAGGCAGTGCCGGTGAGTCCCCAAATAGCAGCTCTTGCACGTGTTCTTTCTTTGATGTTTGAAAAGAAAACTTGCAGCCCTCGGAATACGATGGCATATTTGCATGTGATTGTATTTTAACTCCCATTGCACTAAAACTTGTGTTCCCTTGATTTGCCATTTTTCCAGATACTTTGGTTGGTAACCATAAATGTTGTGTTGTGTTTTTGATTTTTCATTTTTTAAAATTGACTTCAGAGAGGAAGGTAGAGGGAGAGATAGAAACATCAATGATGAGAGAGAACCATTGATTAGCTGTCTTTTGCATGCCAATCACTGGGCATCGAGCCCATAACCCAGGCATGTGCCCTGTCCAGGAATCGAACTGTGACCTCCTGGTTCATAGATTGATGCCCAACCACTGAGCCACACCAGTTGAGCTAAATGTTGTATTTTAAATTTACTACATTTAAGACAATGTAGTAAATATTCTATAGACATATTTATCGTCTGTGTCTATAGGAAATGCAGAAACAAATGAACATGAAATCAATGTTTCCCCAATAACCATCCAAAAAAGAACAAAGGAATTGCTTTATAACAATGGCTTTGTTGTTGATGTATCTGAGTCACACTTAGCGGTGATGAAGCGTACCTGTTATTGTCTCTGGAAATATGAAAGCTGTGAAAGGAAAACCACACATAATAGATGTACATATTAGAGAAATAGAAGGAATCTCCCGTGTCTATGGTGATGTTTCCTCCCTTTCCTAGTGCTTCGTTCGATTCCACCGTCCGGCTGTGGGACGTGGAGCGTGGTGTGTGCATCCACACGCTCACCAAACACCAGGAGCCCGTCTACAGTGTCGCCTTCAGCCCCGACGGCAAGTACCTGGCCAGCGGCTCTTTTGACAAGTGTGTGCACATCTGGAATACTCAGGTAATCCCCGATTCCTTTCTCCGAGTAACACCCAAATCAAGTTTCAGTGACCCAGGCTCAAAACTGTCGCTGGGGAGGTTGTGCTGAGTCGCTTCTAAGTCCCTGGCATGAAACGCTCTGCCTGCCTCATCCTTTTCTGGGGTACCAGCCGTCATCTCAGACAACCGTATCCCAGTCCTCTTGTCTCCAGAGATGCTGCCCTCGAGGTACTAAGGTTGGGGCGACAGGTATCATTCCATTTGCACTTTCCGGGGGCCCAGCTAAGGGGCGGGGCCAGCCACTCACATTGTGTAGCATATGGGAGGGTACAAAGGCATATCTGTTTGCTTTGTTGTGCCATTTTGATTTTTCTAATGAAAATAGTTTATGTTTCTGTGGGAAAGGGTATGTCGGTATTGGGTTGTGCTATTGGCAGAACTAAAAGGAGACAGCATTTGAGTAAATGTAGCCATGGGTATCGCTGGCTGCACCTGAGGACGACAGATTGTGACTAAAAAGAGTGGAAGTGGGTGGGAGATAGAGCAGGGAGTGTTATGTTGGGCAGTCACCCCTCGGTTCTCTAGCTGATGGAAGAGAAATGGTCGGAGCCATTGCAAACAGCCGGTGATCCAGTTTGTGTGACTTTAGGTGGATTAAATGGCCTCCCCTCTTCCCTTTTAATCCAGTCTGCCTTCCGGCTTCCCTGTGGCTGGGTTGAAATTGAGGTGCATTTTAATTGAGTCCATGCCCCCTTGTGGGAAGGGTTGGTAGTACATGAAGCAAGTGAGCTGGCATGGGGTCCACTGAGACCTCAGGCTTCCACAGTCTGCCTCCAATGGGCTGCATCCTCGTAGAGAGGGAGAGATGAGGGTGGACCCCATGCGGAACCAGCCTGCCGCCAGGCCTCACAGCCCAGATAGGCCGGGTGGAAAACGTGCATCCAGCAATCCTGTGCGAGAGACCCTCTTCACAGAAGCAGTGATGGGTGGATTTGTACAGTGACATCATAGAAAAATGGCATTAGGCATTGCCCACGGCCAAAAGCTCACCAAATTATGTCACTCCTGTTTTACAAATCACAAACCTCTTTGATCCTCAGTAAGAGGATGCCCTCTCTAAGTACAAGTATGTATATAATACTAGAGGCCCGGCGCACGGGGTCCCTCGGCCTGGCCTGCGGGGATCAGGCCAAAACCAGCAGTCCAACATCCCCCAAGGGGTCTCCTGGAGTGGGAGAGGGCCCTCGCTGGGCAGCTTCTGTGTTGAGCGTCTGCCCCCTGGTGGTCAGTGAGCGTCATAGCTATGGGCGGTGGCTATAGATAGATTGTGGCCTTGCTCCTCCCTGTTCCCACCCCCTTAGCTCCTGACCGCTGCTTTGCTTTGCAGAGTGGGAGGCTCGTCCACAGCTACCGAGGCACTGGAAGCATCTTCGAGGTCTGCTGGAACGCCCAAGGGGACAAAGTGGGCGCCAGCGCGTCCGATGGCTCTGTAAGCGGCACCAGGGTTTGCTGGGGGGAGGAGGGTGCGGGGCCAAAAGGGGAAACCCCAGGCAGCTGATACCCAGGGCAGAGGCTGAGGCCTTGCTGCTGCCTCAGCCCCACATTTGTGCCCCCAGCCTGACCCTCTGCTGATAAAGGTATGACCTGCATTCCACAGGTCTCCTGGGGCCCGGGGCCCTGTGATTCTGTGGGGCGGGGGTGGTGGGGGGGCTGGCCGAGTGTCCTGTAGCCCCCACGTGTTCCCAGAGGCCGAGCACAGGCTCGGGTTGTCATGGGCCCTGCCTCTAGGCGTCTGGGCTGTGACACCTGCCGGTGGCCTCTGCGTTACTTCCCGGCTGATCAGAGGCTCGGCCCCTCAGGTTATAGCATAGCTTCTCTGAATGTTCCGGGCTGTGTGCCAATAAAACTTCATTTATAAAGCATAGTGGGTGGGCCTGATTTGGTTCATGGGCCATATAATTTGCCAACCTGGGTTCTGTGTGTTTGAAGGTAACAGGGGCTCTCTGTTTCCTTGCAGGTGTGTGTGTTAGATCTCCGAAAGTAAACGGAATGTTGCAGGAAAGAGAAGAGAATTCTAACCCACCAGCAGTTCGCGTGGGGTGGGGTGGGGGTGGGGGGGCATCCTGTGGGCTCCAAACTGCACGGGCGTGGCGTGTGGGCGTGGACTTTGAAGTCAGCTCCTCCTGGGCCCTGGATGCCTATATCTTTCCTAGTTCTTGTCAAAAAGTTTCAAACACACACAATCGTATCAGAGGTGGGAGAGTGGTTTCCACAGGGACATCTGTCTGGAAAGCGTGACGCCTCCAGCGGGATGGTCCCAGTTTGGTTCCCACCCAGACAGGCTCTGAGGGCTGAGACTGAAGGGGAAAAAAGCTGTGGCGAAAGAGAAGAAAAGCGAAAAAGGCTGTGATAACCGAAAGGGGGTGGGAGAGCTCTGCTTGCGTGCTGCGTGTTGCCCTAACAATTCGGACACTACCGTCGCCCTCGCCAAGGATGGTCACAGCCCAGCTTGTGCCGCTGAAATGCGGAGCTTGTGATCCCCGCGCCTCCGTTTCACACAACCTTCTTTGTCAGGCGGCTTTTCTGTCGGTTGGAATCCTGTCGACTGGGCCTTCCGTCCACGGTGGGGCCTGTTCCCCTTCCTCATTGCCTGTCCCTCCGCCTTCTTCCTCCGTTCAGCGTGTCTTGATTTGCTGTTGATGCAGCCTTGGGGACACGACAAAATCTTTGCGGGACAGCTTTCTTGCCCCTCCCCTCTCCCCCTCTCCCCCCCTCTCTCCCCTGCTCCCCTTTATCATAGTTGTTTCAGATCCTAGGTCTTGAGGGCACTTTTGGCGCAAAATAAGTGCTTTATGTAGGAAGGCAGGGCAGGGTGACTTTTTACAGGAGGAAAGAAAAATGACTTAAGGAGAGCCCGGAGTATTTTTGGGGGGGAAATATTTTTATGTTAAAGCAATTTTAAAATCCTAAAGTAGCCATCAGACAGAGATAG